ATAAAAATCCAAAATAACTGGAATGGTAAATTGAACTTTGTCCAGATTGGTCTGACCTAAATAGCTGAGTAAGTAGGTCAGTAATAAGCTGATTAGGTAGCCGAGTACGTATAGTAGCTGAGTAATGCCTTGGTCACATTTGTCCGATTTTCACTACGGCACCCGGTCGATTGAGTATTGACAAAACACTCAATCGGCCGGGCGCCGTTACAAATAACGTATATATATGGTAAAAAATCGCAAAATAACACACAAAAATGGCCACCGTTTTCAAATATGGTTGCTCACTAACCTAAATTGTCATGAGAAAGTGTAATATGCTTTTAATTAGGCAAACATAAAATTTCAACAAATTCACACACACTTACTATACATGTCAATGTCGATTCTAATATAATAAACAGACATCTACTTTCTTATTTCTGTATTAATTCACAATTAATGTACAATGGTAACTCTCTTATATAAAGGTTAAATAAAGAATACAATACAATACAAAAGATTAGATCAAGGCATGATTTACGAATTGGTGTTATCCTTGTGGGCTTTTATGTTAGTATCAGACAGGGTGGGCGGAAAAGGACACCATTGAATAAGGCAATATCTCCTAAATTAGACAAGTGACATCAATGAAAATTTGCACACACCAAAACAGTTCTATGGAAATTTGTTGAAAGTTTCAATATACTCAGTCAACTGGTTCAGGAACTTTGATCATTTACATAACATGCCCCATATGGCCGCAATTGAGCAAAAGGCAGAGCTCGATTTAGGTAGTCGGAATAATGGCTCAAAAGTGCCAGGAAAGTACTTTTTAATGTACAGTTGCAACATATTCTCGAATTTGGTACCGTTGGAAAGCTTGTGGTACCTAAATTTGAGATCCACTTGTTAGCAATTACGAAATGTGGGCCGAGTGTGTCTAAAACGCCCGTTTCCATGGTTACCACTAAAATATGTTGTTAATAAGCAGAAAATTCTTTTTAAGCATAACTTTACTAATATTGCTCCGATTTTAATGAAATTGGTATCAAATTAAAGAGAATTAAAGGCCCATTTTCGAAAATAATATTTATGCAAATTAGCTCATTTGCATATTGATTGTGACGTCATCACTGCATTATTTTGCGTATTTTTTTATAAACGAGTATATTTATTTCTGTACGGTAATGTACAGTTACAACATATTCATGAATTTGGTACCGTTTGAAAGCTTGTAGTGTCTAGTTTTGAGATTCACTTGAAAGTAGTTACAAAAAGTGGCCCAAATGTGTCTAAAATGCCCGTTTCCATAGTAACCACAACATTACAGTGTTAATAATCAGAAAATATTTTTTATGCATAACTTTACTGAAATTGCTCTGATTTTGATGAAATTGGTATCAAATTAAAGAGAATGGAAAGTTCCATTTTTGAAAATAACATTTATGCAAATTAGCTCATTTGCATATTGATTGTGACTTCATCACTGTAATATTTTGCGTATTTTTTGATAAATGAGTATATTTATTTCAGTATAGTAGTGTACAGTTACAACATATTCATGAATTTGGTATACCATGTGAAAGCTTGTAGTGTCTAGTTTTGAGATTCACTTGAAAGTAATCACAAAAAGTGGACCAAATGTGTCTAAAATGCCCGTAATTCATATGGCAAAATTGTCAATCACCCTTACCCCATTCAACCCTTATTATGGCATTACATTTAGCAGCGATTGCCTTCTTTTGGTAAGGATTGTTTTGGTATACATTGTCTTTCAAAAAGCCCAACAAAAAGAAATCAGGTGGATTCAAGTTGGGGGTATATGGAGATGAAGAGTTCATCTGTTACCTGTCTATAGTTTAGGAGATATTGCCTTCTTCAATGGTCTCCTTTTTTCCGGTCACCCTGTATCTGGATATTGTTTAAAAAATACTATAGTTTTGATTTTGCATTGTAATCACCATTCGTAATACCATATTGTATCTAATTTTGATAAAAGTTGTTCTCGGACGATTACTGAATAACTGAACTTGTTGCTTCGAGACCAGAGATGGACTCCGGTAGCAAGTGTCCAATTAAAACCTTTGAATTATTTATTACCATTTCAACGCAAACAATTTCATTTTCATTTGTTAAATCAGATCTCAGTTTAAAAGGTCATGCTATTCTTTATATAAACAGCAATATCACTTCCATATTCCGGGATCGGTGGAAAAATTGGCTTATGTAACCCATTTAATTCATGACTATTATCTAAATTGACTCGTTTGCCCACTTCACATTGAGATATCACGCCATAGTTCAGATCACTAATGGTTTGTCTTAGTTCATTCATCATGATAAACCATGTCATCTCATTTCTTCTCAGCCCTGAGATGTTTCAGTTGAAACAGAAAGGTGCTATGAGTATCAGAATGTAGTTCATTAAACCTAGTACCCCTTCATGTGCAGTAATGTTATTCATATTGAAAGAGAAAACATTTAACGTATGGGGCCTGGATTTGTTTCAATGTAATTTGCCTGCATCATGATCGGGTGAATTATCTCAAATATATAGTGATAATAAAACCCTATTCCAGGTATAACCAATGTAGCTACAACATGTAAAATGCAGTTCATGATGCTTGGTAGTGTAACCTTGTTATGTGTCACATTAGATTTTGAATGGCATGAAATACTGTGCATTACAAAAGTAATAGCATTAGGCTACTGTCATATCAATAACCCAGATGCGAGTAGAAATAATCTTGATTTACGTCATTCAAAATTCAGTCAAAGTAATATCATATTTGAAATCTACATGTAAAATTAAATTACATCTAGAAATGTGGTTTTAAAAAGTGGTTATCAACTTTGAAAAATTAATTTTCTTTGAAAATGTGACTTCTAGCTCGGGGAGATTCCCCATAGACCCCATGCTATAAAATCACGAAAAATGAAATAACTTTTCTTTTAGTGGACAGATAATATTTTGCTTTACTGGACATATTTTCATTAGTATAAGTATCAGACACATAAGAGTTATATGAAAATTGAGCCACTTAAATTGATAATATTCAAGTTTAAGGGAACTTTCTTATATACCTGCCATGTTAATTGACCCGAATCAGCCACCTGGTGGTGAAACTGGTAACTACTTACTCGCATTTGGGTAATTGTCATCATTGCAAAACTAGCACCTGATACAGATAACAGATAAATACAGTTGAAGACCACTGCATGAGATAATTTATGCCAAGTTCCGTCCAACAAACATAGCGATGTGATCAGGAGAGGTTTAAATTGTAATACAGCACCAAACTACCTCTTTTGTGACTTAATTTTAATATTAATGTGTGTTTTTTGGTGAAATTGGCTCATAATTGGGGAAAATTGGTGATGATGGGTGGACAAATGACAGCTTAAGAGATAATCCGATCGACTTTATTTTCATTCTATTGACTGCCATATTGTTTTTAGACGGGAAGCTTATCGTAGGCCTCTTGAAGTGGAACACCTTCGTTATTGGAAGACTTCAGGGGTTAGTGGAAGCCTTCAGGGGTTAGTGGAAGCCTTCAGGGGTTAGTGGAAGCCTTAAGAGGTTAGTGGAAGCCTTCGGGGGTTAGTGGAAGCCTTCAGGGGTTAGTGGAAGCCTTCAGGGGTTAGTGGAAGCCTTCAGGGGTTAGTGGAAGCATTCAGGGGTTAGTGGAAGCCTTCGGGGGTTAGTGGAAGCCTTCAGGGTACAAAGAATATGACTTCATGTTAAATGAACCCCTGGAAAACCTCCCAGGTGGGATATGAATGAGCAAGAGCCGAGAAAGTTGTTGTATTGTACAGTTTTACTGATTTATTTTTGTCTAACATACATGTAATCAATATGGAGTACATGTTTATGTGTAATTGACCAAAAACCTAACCAACATATTCAGCTTCTGGATCACAATAGCAAAGTAGTATCTGACATGAAAACGACTTTAACATGCGCTACAGTATATGAATGTTTATAACGAATAATACCTTTCTGAATTTACATGTCAATCTCTACAAAATCATAAATTTATGTAAATATAAACTCAACTCACGCTATCAGTCAAGATAGAAGTCGAACTCTTTAAATTTTATATACATCAATAATATAATAAATAAAATAACAATGTTTTCCAATATTTCTGTGACTTTTCCTTTCACTGCCTTGATTGAAGTTTTTTCTGACTATAGGTCATAGGAACCATGCTCATTCTGATATGGTTTTGATAAAACTATAAGAATATTAATACAATGCACAGCATGTACTGTATGTAATTATAATAATGCTACAAGAGAATATAGGTATAACTATAAAAAATGGTTCTCTCAGACTCAGTCTGTAACAAAATCTTACAACTTCCTATAACTTAACAAGTACCATTTATATCAACTTCAAATTTTTATTGTGAACATATATAAACATGATATGAGTTCCAACACATTTCTACCAATACATGTTACCATGACAAGTGGACTTGGAACATTTTGTACCCATGGTTGAGAGTCAGCGTTTGTCGTCTCTAATAAAGTCTTACAACTTGCAACAACTTAACAAGTACTATTTAGACTGACTTCAAATTTTTACTGTGAACATAAATGAACATGTTACAAGTTCCAACACATTTCTGTTACCATGGCAACAAATAAGTGGGCTTGTAACATTTTGTAACCATTAGCAATAATTTTTATCATTAATACATGTTACGACTTTTTACATATGTTTGACAGTTTCAGTTACCATGACATATATGTTACCATGGAAACAGATTATTTGCCTTTAAAATTACTTCTTAATTCTCTAATTAGCAACAAGATGATGACATTTTGCCAATGGTTAGTTACGTATAATCAAATAATACAATTCAATTTTTACAAACTTATTTTTTCGCCTTTACAATTCATAAAATTGTGGAATAAACTTGGAAATCTTTAAAAATTGTAAAATATTTGCATATTGGCTCATTAAACTTTAAACTACACAAATAAAACTCAATAAAATTGGTTATCGTACGTCCTCTTACAAACAAAATACTGAAAAAATGTCTCCATGCGAAAAAATGATCAAATCATCAGCTAAAACACGTTCAGATGATCAGTATGCTTTGATAACAGTGTGTTCGATAGTATTCAACTACATGCAAATTCATGTGTAAACCATGTACAATGTACACTATATTAACAATATATGCTCGTATTACTGCACTTTAACTCTTTCACTGTAATAAAGTATAAAATGGTTTTCAATTCATGAATTCATATATTTTCTTATATTGAACTGCCCGAGTCCTAAATGTTATAGACATATATTTAATATTGATAACATATAAAAGCATGTCACAACCCTCAGGACAATTATTGGGTCTTTGACAATTGAGGGAATAATATAATTCTATATAAGAGGTCTTGGACCATTGAAGCAATAATATAGTTTTAAATAAGGGGTGTTGGACAATTGAAGCCATCATATTGTTCTATATGACATGTATGAGGGTTCTTGGACAATTGAAGCCATCATATAGTTCTATATAAGAGGTCTTGGACAATTGAAGTGATCATATAGTTCTATATAAGGGGTCCTTGACAATGGAAGCAATCATGCATAACAGCATCATCAGCTGATTCAACTTGAATAGTTGTGACATCAAAGTCAAATTTCTTGCGCAGAAGAGTATTTGTCTGGTACAGGATAGACTTGGCGTCTGCTTCTGAATCTAAAGCAAAGTAAAGGGTGAGCTTCAATTACAAATGACACGATATTATGAGTTTCAGTTACTTTTTTGAGGCTCATAGTGAATTTTTGAAAAACGCTACTTTATTACAATACAAATAGATGCCTACATATTTTATTTCGCATATAAAAACTTATGCTCATTTATAAGTAACAGATACATGTATGTTCTCCTTTGAATATTTCTGTGTTTTCAGAATATGTTTGGAATCAAGTCAGATTCACTTAAAAAAATATCCCTGCTAGCAGTTTTTACAATTAAGTAACCCATTTACCTTGAGAATATCCCTGCTAGCAGTTTTACAATTGAGTAGCCCATTTTCCTAGAGAATATCCCTGCTAACAGTTTTACAATTGAGTAACCCATTTACCTAGAGAATATCCCTGCTAACAGTTTTACAATTGAGTAGCCCATTTTCCTAGAGAATATCCCTGCTAACAGTTTTACAATTGAGTAGCCCATTTTCCTAGAGAATATCCCTGCTAACAGTTTTACAATTGAGTAACCCATTTACCTAGAGAATATCCCTGCTAACAGTTTTACATTTGAGTAACCCATTTACCTAGAGAATATCCCTGCTAGCAGTTTTACAATTGAGTAACCCATTTACCTTAAGGATATCCCTATCCCTGCTAACAGTTTTACATTTGAGTAACCCATTTACCTAGAGAATATCCCTGCTAGCAGTTTTACAATTGAGTAACCCATTTACCTTAAGAATATCCCTGCTAACAGTTTTACATTTGAGTAACCCATTTACCTAGAAAATATCCCTGCTAGCAGTTTTACATTTGAGTAACCCATTAACCTCAAGAATATCCCTGCTAGCAGTTTAACAATTGAGTAACCCATTTACCTAGAGAATATGCCCTGCTAGCAGTTTTACAATTGAGTAACCCATTTACCTAGACAATATCCCTGCTAACTGTTTTACAATTGAATAACCCATTTACCTAGAGAATATCCCTGCTAGCAGTTTTACAATTGAGTAGCCCATTTACCTAGAGAATATACCTGCTAGCAGTTTTACAATTAAGTAACCCATTTACCTAGAGAATATCCCTGCTAGCAGTTTTACAATTGTGTAACCCATTTACCTAGAGAATATCCCTGCTAACAGTTTTACAATTGAATAACCTATTTACCTAGAGAATATCCCTGCTAGCAGTTTTACAATTGTGTAACCCATTTACCTAGAGAATATCCCTGCTAGCAGTTTTACAATTGAGTAACCCATTTACCTAGAGAATATCCCTGCTAGCAGTTTTACAATTGTGTAACCCATTTACCTAGAGAATATCTCTGCTAGCAGTTTTTTAATTGAGTAACCCATTTACCTAGAGAATATCCCTGCTAGCAGTTTTACAATTGAGTTACCCATTTACCTAGAGAATATCCCTGCTAGCAGTTTTACAATTGTGTAACCCATTTACCTAGAGAATATCCCTGCTAGCAGTTTTATAATTGAGTGACCCATTTACCTCGAGAATATCCCTGCTAGCAGTTTTACAATTGAATAACCCATTTACCTAGAGAATATCCCTGCTAGCAGTTTTACATTAGAGAATATCCCTGCTAGTAGTTTTATATTTGAGTAACCCATTTACCTAGAGAATATCCCTGCTAGCAGTTTAACAATTGAGTAATCCATTTACCTAGAGAATATCCCTGCTAGCAGTTTTACAATTGAGTAGCCCATTTTACTAGAGAATATCCCTGCTAGCAGTTTTACAATTGAATAACCCATTTACCTAGAAAATATCCCTGCTAGCAGTTTAACAACTGAGTAACCCATTCACTTAGAGAATATCCCTGCTAGTAGTTTTACAATTGAGTAACCCATTTACCTATTGCAACATGAGCGCTCATTGCAGGCTTGTCCATAGTAAGTGACCAGACATTCAGGTTATGAACTGAAGACACTCCTTCTATAGCCAGCATTGCATCTTTAAGGCCCTTATATGGGATATCTTTTGGAAAGGCTGAAGGAAGAAGTTACAAATGTGTGTTGCATATAGCACATGGAGAAAACTGATTAGTAGTGGTTCTCATACTAGGATTATCAAATAAAAATGTATGTGAAAATGACTTAAAGTGGGTGAAAAAGACAGAGAATTCAAACGTTGGAAGCAAACCTCTCAAAACACTCAAAATGATGTAGAATTTTAAAAACATGAAACTTACTCTCAACTTATCTCTAGTATTGGTTTGAGTAAAATCATATCATTTTCTCAAGGGAATCTGTCATTTGTGGCTAATATTTTTATTTTTTTTAACATGGCACTCTACTTCACTTATCATGATCAAAAGTCTCATGAACTGATTAAGTCAAACTAAACTTAACAAAAACTTTTTTACAAATCAACTTTAACATTGATGTGTTGTATTGATATACACATCCCATACAGGCAAAAGGCTCTCAAGCAACAAAACCAGTCTAGTCTACATTTTAACAAGGACATAAATATAAAAGATCCTACCCTCCATGATGATATGAAAAGCATCTCTAAGCACCGTGAATGTTGTAATTAGCACCAGGACCGAGAAGACAAATGTACAAATTGGGTCTGCCATCTTATACTCTGGCTGGAATCACAAGACAAGAAAAAAACAATTATTTGCATGTATGAATTTTAGCAGTCATACATGTACAACTCCAATAGACATTAGTAAATCAATTGTTCTAGCTATTGTGACGTAATGTATCATATTAGAATTGCAAATAATCTTTATCTTTATGGCAATACTTATTCTGAGTAATTAGGATATCAGACTTATTGCCATCAACTCACTTTGGTGTTTTTTCAAAGGTTTTTCAAAATCAAAAATCTATTTACAACCATCTACAAATTGGCCATGTTCTCCAAATTGAAATGTTCACAAAATAAAAGATACATACCTTATATTTTATTATATATGCTGCAATAAGGACTCCTAAACTTTGAATTAGGTCACCTATTACATGAATGAAAGCAGCACGAACGTTAATGTTCTTCTTGGCAGGTGTGGGATCATTTTCGTGTGAGTGAGCATTATTACTGGTACAGGTGGGTTCTTCTAGAGTAGTATAGCCTACTGATGACCCGGATGTGTCGTCACTCTCCACATGTGAGTGACCCCCTCCGTGGGAATGACCGTGACCCCCTCCATGGGAGTGGTTGTGCCCAAATGTCCGTAAGTTACACTTGAAGGACTCTGTGTGCAACACCACCATCATTCTACATAAGAAATGCAAAAGGCATAATTCACCCAAAGGACCATGTGACATATGGCAAGTAATTTAAACTGTCATTTATTCCATCATGAGTACCTTCTGACCATAATAACAGTGGTTTTTATTGAAAAAATATGTTTTCTTTCCCATGATAGTAAAATATCAATCCAACTCTCTGAAATAACATGGATAAGGACCCCCACCTTGGCACTATTTTCAAAATGTTAGACTTATTTTCTGAAAAGACGATCTTGTTTTTCTCAATTCAAAAATGTGCTAAAGTTAAAAACTACTACTGCTACCCATGTTATTTTCCTTTAGTGAAAACTCATGCCATCCATTGTTTTCAGCATAATTTTGGTCATCGAAAATTAATATTTTCAAATTTTAAACTAGATTTTCGAACCATTCTACATTTGAAGAAGTTTTAGACCTCTGGTTGAATGATGACTTTACATGCAATAAAATCAGAAAAAGAAGATACTCTTTTGAGTGTTTCAAATATTGGAAAAATTGTTAACATAGGGCCCTTATTCATAATTTTTGATTGGTCAATTCATATTTTTATCATCGTGGAGACTTCATTTGAAAGAAAACATTTTTAACAAAACACTGTATTTATGCCCAGAAAGTACTTGTGGTGAAAGATATGACTCTCTAAGTCACTTGCAATATGTCACATGGCCCTTTTCATTAAAGATAACATTGAAGAAAATTTAATTGTGTGTTCTTTATAACAATGCAATAGTGAGTTAAACTAAGGTGATATTGGATAAAACTTACATAATATTGGATGAAACTTATATGATATTGGATGAAACTAACATAATATTGGATGAAACTTATATGATATTGGATGAAACTTATATGATATTGGATGAAACTTACATAAGATAAGATGAAACTTATATGATATTGGATGAAACTTACATGATATTAGATGAAACTTATATGATATTGGATGAAACTTATATGATTGGATGAAACTTACATAATATTGGATGAAACTTACATGATATTGGATGAAACTAATATGATATTGGATGAAACTAACATAATATTGGATGAAACTTCTATGATATTGGATGAAACTTACACGATATTGGATGAAACTTACACGATATTGGATGAAACTTAAATGATATTGGATGAAACGTATATGATATTGGATGAAACGTACATAATATTGGATGAAACTTAAATGATATTGGATGAAACTTACATAATATTGGATGAAACTTATATGATATTGGATGAAACTTACATGATATTGGATAAACTTACATAATATTGGATGAAACTTATATGATATTGGATGAAACTTACATAATATTGAATGCAACTCCACAACCAGCTGTTATGAGCATTTCATCTGCATGAATATGATAGTTGTTCTCAAGGATACGTCTAACTGCCATGTAAACTAATACACCAGTAATGATCCAGATTATGATGACACTAAACAAAGCTCCAATCACCTCTAAAAATGAAATGAAAGTGTTTATTATTATTATTAGCCTTACCAACTTTCTTCCAATCTATATTGGAATAATTCCTATGGACCATTCTCTGAATTCACAACTTTGTCATCCCTATCATTTTTAAGAATTAGAATATTATGAGCTGTATTTGGTGACATGGAAAAAAACATATTATGGTAATTCACAAAAATTAAGTCACAATTGATGACAAAGGCTTATGTAGTCATCATTGTGTGATATATGTAGTCATCATTGTGTGATAAATGTTCAAGTTTAATCAGTGGTCACCAGTCATTGTAAACAAAGGCTTATGTAGTCATCATTGTGTGATATATGTAGTCATCATTGTGTGATAAGTGTTTGAGTTTAATCAATGGTCACCAGTCGTTGTAAACAAAGGCTTATATAGTCATCATTGTGTGATATATGTAGTCATCATTGTGTGATAAATGTTCAAGTTTAATCAGTGGTCACCAGTCATTGTAAACAAAGGCTTATGTAGTCATCATTGTGTGATATATGTAGTCATCATTGTGTGATAAGTGTTTGAGTTTAATCAATGGTCACCAGTCATTGTAAACAAAGGCTTATATAGTCATCATTGTGTGATATATGTAGTCATCATTGTGTGATAAATGTTCAAGTTTAATCAGTGGTCACCAGTCATTGTAAACAAAGGCTTATATAGTCATCATTGTGTGATAAATGTAGTCATCATTGTGTGATAAATGTAGTCATCATTGTGTGATATATGTTTAAGTTTAATCAGTGGTCACCAGTCATTGTAAACAAAGGCTTATATAGTCATCATTGTGTGATATATGTAGTCATCATTGTGTGATAAATGTTCAAGTTTAATCAGTGGTCACCAGTCATTGTAAACAAAGGCTTATATAGTCATCATTGTGTGATAAATGTAGTCATCATTGTGTGATAAATGTTCAAGTTTAATCAGTGGTCACCAGTCATTGTAAACAAAGGCTTCTATAGTCATCATTGTGTGATAAATGTAGTCATCATTGTGTGATAAATGTTCAAGTTTAATCAGTGGTCACCAGTCATTGTAAACAAAGGCTTATGTAGTCATCATTGTGTGATATATGTAGTCATCATTGTGTGATAAATGTTCAAGTTTAATCAGTGGTCACCAGTCATTGTAAACAAAGGCTTATATAGTCATCATTGTGTGATATATGTAGTCATCATTGTGTGATAAATGTTCAAGTTTAATCAGTGGTCACCAGTCATTGTAAACAAAGGCTTATATAGTCATCATTGTGTGATAAATGTAGTCATCATTGTGTGATAAATGTTCAAGTTTAATCAGTGGTCACCAGTCATTGTAAACAAAGGCTTCTATAGTCATCATTGTGTGATAAATGTAGTCATCATTGTGTGATAAATGTTCAAGTTTAATCAGTGGTCACCAGTCATTGTAAACAAAGGCTTATGTAGTCATCATTGTGTGATATATGTAGTCATCATTGTGTGATAAATGTTCAAGTTTAATCAGTGGTCACCAGTCATTGTAAACAAAGGCTTATATAGTCATCATTGTGTGATAAATGTAGTCATCATTGTGTGATAAATTTTTAAGTTTATTCAGTGGTCACCAGTCATTGTAAACAAAGGCTTGTGTAGTCATCATTGTGTGATAAATGTAGTCATCATTGTGTGATAAATGTTCAAGTTTAATCAGTGGTCACCAGTCATTGTAAACAAAGGCTTATATAGTCATCATTGTGTGATAAATGTAGTCATCATTGTGTGATAAATGTTCAAGTTTAATCAGTGGTCACCAGTCATTGTAAACAAAAGCTTATATAGTCATCATTGTGTGATATATGTTTGAGTTTAATCAATAGTCACTAGCCACTGTAAACAAGGGCTCGTATAATCATCATTGTGTGATAAATGTAGTCAGCATTGTGTGATAAATATATGAGTTTAATCAATGGTCACCAGTCATTGTAAACAAAGGCTTATGTAGTCATCATTGTGTGATATATAGAGTCATCATTGTGTGATAAATGTTTGAGTTCAATCAGTGATCACCAGTTATTGAATACAATGGCTTACATAGTCATCATTGTGTGGTAGATGTTTAAGTTTAAGCTATGGTCACCACTGTAAACAAGGGCTCATATAATCATCTTACGTAGTCATCATTGTGTGATATATCTTACGTAGTCATCATTGTGTGATAAATATATGAGTTCAATCAATTGTCTCCAGTCATTGTAAACAAAGGCTTATGTAGTCATCATTGTGTGATATATGTTTAAGTTTAAGTTTAAGCAATGGTCGCCAGTCATTGTAAACAAAGGCTTACATAGTCATTATTGTGCGATATATGTTTAAGTTTAAGCAATGGTCACCAGTCATTGTAAACAAAGGCTTACATAGTCATCATTGTGCGATATATGTAGTCATCATTGTGCGATATATGTTTAAGTTTAAGCAATGGTCACCAGTCATTGTAAACAAAGGTCATTTCAAGCAGGTCAAATGTGAATATTTGGGTATTTGGCATTTTAAGACTTTTGGACAAGTTCACCTAAATTTAAGAATCATTCAAGGTCAAATGATCAATAAACAGGTATTTATGGGGGCTGCTGCCATGTGGGGGCTGTCGTGACCCTTGGTGAGTCACTGACCTACTTGAACAGGTAGATTATGAGTTGAACAAAGGCAAACATTATTACTAAACTAAACTTTGTGACTTATCTGACAATTATACAACATTTAGAGTACCAGTAAGATAAGACATGACTATGGAAAGAAACAAAGACACCAATTCTCATTCGGACAAATATAAACACATATAAATATATAAGCACATATAAATCTTAACACATGCCTGCTCTATGGAATCCAAATGTTAATCTGGTTGTAGGTTGTTTCCTAGCAACATGTATTGCAATGAGACTGATCACAAAGCTGAGAACGTCACTTGCTAAATGGGTAGCATCCGTCACCAAGGCAAGGCTACCCGATAATACACCTCCTGAAAAGTGAATTAAATTAAGTCAGATCATTTAAAAAGGCATGTGCAAATTATATCATAACATGTTAGTCCCATGTAAAATAAATTAATATACCACTAATAAATCACAAGTGGTGTTTACATCATTTATCAAAACTGGCAATATTCAACTACTGTAGAACATCACTGTGGGGTAGAAGTACATGTAAGGCTTTTGGGTTGAGTGGTGAGTAAAATATGTACTGAACTCCAGGTTTTATTTCACGAGTTTTAATTCCGCGAATTTTGAAAAAACATGATTTTGTGGCTATAAAATTTTGCAAATTTTACTAAGTACACCTACTACTATGTCATCTTGGTCAACAACATGATGAACCTTAACCTTTATAACATTGTACTTTTTTGGTTTATTTGATCTGATAAGCCTGTAACAGACGTTATAGCTTAGTGTCCAATTTATCGCCTAAAACACTTGACAAACATAATAAGCAGGTAATAAAAAATTTCAAAAATTGACAATTTCGCGAAGATTAGTTTTTTGCGATTTTACCACAATAGCGATAAGCGCAAAACTAAATCACACATGAAAATATTTGGAGTACAGTATTTACTCAATTTTAGTAGAATGGTGTTATACAGGGCGTATCAAAAAAACCGCAAAAAATTGTTATCTCGTAAAATCACAAAACTAGTGATGACTACATCAATTTCATTCAATGTACCATAAACACAGGCTGGTATCGAAATATTTGTCCGCTGTGACGGAGCATGCTATTTTTCATAAAAACACTAAGAATACTTCACGATTTATTTTTTAACTAATATGTTTCGTTATACCATACAAAATTACTTACTCCATGCAATGGATATATCATTTGCGGGTAACTTTCACTTCTGTTTGAAGTCCAATTACGCTGGGAAGAAAAGCTATTGAAAATGGCGTCGGAGTATCATACTTCAAAATGTACCATTTCTTGTTTAACTTTCTAATGGCACGATATAGTGACACGATAATATTTACACATGGTTTCAGCATAACTATGAAGGTATAAATGAGATGTTGATGTATTTGGTCCTTTTAATTCTTTTACAAAAAATATTGTTTAATTTTTTTGTCCGCTATGACGGAGCAGTTGCAAATGTGAACTGTGAAAATGCTCCGTCACAGCGGACAAAAAATATTAATATTATTTTTTATAAAAAAATTTAAAAGACCCAATGCATTAATATCTCATTTAATACATTCAGAGTTATGCTGAAAACATATGTTAATATTATCGTTTCACTATATCATGCCATTAAAAAGTTAAAAAAGAACTGGTACATTTTAGAGTTTGATACTCTGGCGCCGTTTTCAATAGATTTTACTCATAGCGTTATTGGACTTCAAACAGAAGTGGAGGTTACACGCAAATGATATATCCATTGCATGGAGTAAGTAATTATCTTTGATATAACGAAACATATGAGTTAAACAAGAACACAAATGTGTACAAAATGTCCCCACCAAGTGGTGATCCCATGAAATGGTTATCCTGAAAATGAGTAGACAAGACTTTACCAACACAATTTGAGGACGGAAAATCCAAAGTGGCCACCTGAAAATTTACCCAGAATGCCCAAAATTTAGTCAGTTCTAGATTTTCATACTAAGCACCACCCCTGAAAATTTGAAATTGATCCGTCACACAGTTAACCAGAAAACATGTAAAGAAGACTTAACAGACAAGATTTCAGGATGGAAAATCCAAAATGGCTGCCTTGACATTTACCAAGAATATCAAAAAACTAATCTGTTTGTAGATTTTCATACTAAGAATCATCCCTGAAAATATGAAATTGATCTACCAAACGGTTCACCTGAAAACGGGTAGACAAGACTTTACAGACAAGATTTTAGGACAGAAAATCCAAAATGGCTGCCTTAACATTTACGCAAAATGCAAAAAAAGTAATCAGATGTAGATTTTCATACAAAGAATCATCCCTGAAAATTTGAAATTGATCTACCAAACCGTTCACCTAAAAACGCGTAGACAAGACTTTACAGGCAAGATTTTAAGACGGAAAATCCAAAATGGCTGCCTTGACATTTACCCAGAATGCAAAAAAACTAATGAGTTCTAGATTTTCATACTAAGAATCATTCCTGAAAATTTGAAATTGATCTACCAAACAGTTCACCTGAAAACGAGTAGACAAGACTTTACAGACAAGATTTTAGGACGGAAAATCCAAAATGGCTGCCTTGACATTTACCCAGAATGCCAAAAAACTAATGAGATATAGATTTTTATACTAAGAATCATCCCTGAAAATTTGAAATTGATCCACCAAACGGTTCACCTGAAAACGCGCAGACAAGACTTCACAGACAAGATTTTAGGACCGAAAAATCCAAAATGGCCGACAATAAAAAAGTCCTTATGAGTTTTTGCTGATTTCTTTTAACAAAATTATCACATATAACTACTGTTAACAATAAAGTAGGCTTTTACAGCAAAGTACATCTGAAATTATTTATAAAGCTACTAAATAGTTAAAGTATGAAAACTCAAAAACACCATTGAATATGATACAAAGTATTATCGCGCGCTAACTTTTCTTAAGACATTCAAAATGGCTGACATGACTGAGCTAGCAGGTCCAAAACCTAATCAGATCTAGAATGAAGTGAGCTGAACAAGATGTTAAAGTTTTAAATGCAACTGTGAAGCAGTTTTTCTTAAAGTTTGCAGACAAGGATTTTAGCATTTGACATCAAAATGGCCGACAGGAAGTAGGTTTCGAGTTAAATTTTTTTCATCCACATCTATAGGCACTCATAAGTTATTTCTGAAAATTAGAAGGTGATACCTGTAGTGGTTTTGGAGAAAACTGCCGGACGTACGGACGGACAGACAGACAACCAGACAGACAGACAGACGGACGGACGGACGGACGGACGGACGGACGCGCCTAGGACGACAATATGGCCCCACACTATGTGGTGGGGACATAAAAATAAATCGTGAAGCATTCTTAGTGTTTTTATGAAAAATAGCATGCTCCGTCACAGCGGACAAATCTTTCGATACCAGCCTGTGATAAAGCCACGTCTCTCCTCTTTGCAATGATATGTCATTCATTCACATATGGTAACGGTTGGGTGAGAAATCCTTCAATATGCACAGTGGGTCAAAATCGGCTCTGGGCCAAGTTTTAGATATTGTAAAAATCAGTACAAGGGCGTGCCATTGGAAGTTCCCCTGACTTGAATTGTTGTGACTTTTTCTTTTGGAGCATCTCAGGAGCATCTGCACTCACAATTTCTCCACCAGATATTGCAAAACCTCGAGAAAGAATTGCCCATGGGCTGCTTTTCTCTGCTTGAACCCACAGATGACTCAGAGCTGAACCATGCATGACATGGACCGATGAGCGCATCTTTATGTGCAAGAAAGTGGTGGCAATTTGGAGGGGTTATAGGATGTATTCTTGCAAGAGTATAGAGTATGAGTATGAACACTTTACTGTCTATGCCACACCTGTCACACCTTCTTCCAATAGCCACTATACCCCTTGTACTGACTTTTACAATGTTTAAAACTTGGGTCCGAGTTGAATTTTGCCCCACTTTGCAAAAATAATGATTATTCGGCCAGCCATGACTCCCTGAGAATGAATGATATTCCATTGCAAAGAGGAGTAATTTGGCTTTTTGGTACATTGAATGAAAAGGATGCAGTCAGCATTGGTTTTATGTTTTCTTCCAATATTGCATCGGGCTCCGTACACTGACTTTTGCGATGTTCATAACTTGGTCCCAAGCTAATTTTGGCCCACTTTGCAAATGGAATGATTACTCGCCCAACCATAACCAAATATCAATGAATGATATATCATTGTAAAGAAGAGACACATGGCTTTATGGTGCATTGAATGAAATCAATGCTGTTATCACGGGTTTTGTGCTTTTCTGAGATTTTTATTTATTTTATTTTTTTTTATTTATTATCATATTCATTTAGTATTACATTAACAGTGTTGGCACTTGATACCCATAAAAGGGCATATCAGTGCTAAAATCAAGAGTTGTACAATATAAAAATATATTACAATTTATATGAATTGAATGAAGCAAGAAATACAATTATAGATATCATGCCAGTTCATGACAGTTTACGACAATATACAGAATACAAAAATGCCTGCACATAAACAATTCAAAAGTGAAAATTACAAACATAATACAATTGTGGAACAATAACAGTACATGCTCATGGCTCAGTAACAACTCAGTAACAACTCAGTAACAATTTATTAATGTTTTTTCATAAAATGATGGTAGAGATTGAAGGGATGTTGGTAAATTGTTCCATACAAGGGCCGATCAAAAAGTTTCTTACCGTTGGCTCTAGATTTTATAATAAGAGGAGTTAGATGCTCAAACTTTTACATGAGACAGGGTAGTTAGTTTGCTTGAGACTGTGTGAGTTTCATTTAAATTGGTTCATTGGTAGTGACTCAGAGTCGATACATATTTTCAATGATTGAATTGGGTGGAGCAGCGTTTTTTATAAAAAAAATGTGCTAAGCTGCAGTTTTGGAAATTTCTAACACTAAGTAGTGTCATCTGTGAAGTGTCATCTGTTAAGTTTGATTTAAATTTGCATGGGATAATGTGATGGATTTGTCTCGTGGGACGAGTGTGTCTGAAATTAAAATACTGTTTAAATAAATGAGAAGGAAAATGTGCTGGTTCTTTAACTATATTAAACATGAATTTTGCTTTTTCTAATTTATGAATATCAAAGATAGTTAATATATGTAATTGCTTGAATAGTGGTAAACTTGGGTGAAGTAAATCTAAATTTAAAGATAATTTGACCAATTTTTTTGAATTGCATAAATCTTGTCTAATAAAAATTTGTTGGCATTTCCCCATATGATGTTACAATATGAAATGTGAGAATATATAAGTGAGTAATATATATCTAGCAAAGCTGTAAAATTTAATTTGTAGCGAATTTTGTAAAGTATACCTAGTGTTTTGGATATTTTTGAAATAATATAAGATATATGTTCGTTCCAATTTAATTTATAGTCAATTATTACTCCAAGAAAGTTTGTTTTTTCAACTCGTTCAATAGTATTTCTATCAATAATTAACTGATATTTGGGATCATTGAGTTTAGTTTTTGATTTAGTAAAGATCATATAATTAGTTTTATCTATGTTGAGTGAAAATTTATTGTTCTTGAACCAATTAGAAATATTAATCATTTCATTATTTGCAATTTTGAATAAGTTTTCTAGGTTATCATCTTCGAGGCATATATTAGTATCATCAGCAAAAATATCTGATACCTTAAAAAGATCGTTTATATATAGTGTAAATAGTACTGGCCCCAAGACAGAGCCTTGAAGGACACCAAAAGTTAAAGTTTCATTTTTATCTGAATATGTATCCTAAATAAAAGTTTTTAAAGGACGGTTTTTTAAATAACTTCTAAACCAATCATTGGCAACACCGCGAAAACCTAGCATTTCTAGTTGATTTAGTAAAATTGTATGGTCAATGGTATCAAAAGCCTTGGAAAGGTCTAAATATAAACCTAAAACATGTTTTTTATTATCTAAAGCAAAACGAATTTGTTCAGAAAAAGTAAGAATGGCCATATATGTTGAATGTTTTTCTTTAAAACCAAATTGCCTTTCATGCATTAGATTATTAGTTTTAAGAAATGTAGAAAAACGTTTATACATTACTTTTTCAAGAAGTTTAGAAAAAACACTCAGTAAAGAAATAGGTCTATAGTTCTTAAAAAGTGATCTTTCTCCTTTTTTGAAAAGTGCAATTAATTTTGTAATCTTTAGTTTATCTGGAAAAATACCAGATTGCAGTGAAAGGTTAACAATATGTGTAAAAGGAGTAGCTATATTGAATCTAGCATGTTTCAAGGGCTTTATATTGTCAAAACCAGGTGCTTTATCACCAAGTCCCTGCATTAATGTTAAAATTTCATCTTCAGTAACAGGATCCAGAAATATAGAATGTTTATTTCTCGTAATATTGGCAAATGGTGACCCATTGGAATGAATTTTTGATGCAAGTTTTGGACCAACATTTGCAAAGTATGAAGAAAAATTGTTTGCCACAGTTAATTTATCTTTTGTTAAAGTATTATTTATAAGCATGTTAAATTCAGATGCATTTGAATTATTATTTCTTTTCAAAATGTTATTAATAATTGACCAAGTTTGCTTAAGATTACCTTTAACTTCATGGAACTTAGAACTATAATGTTTTTTTTCAGAAAAGCGAATTATATGTTGCAATTTGTTTTTAAATTCTTTGTAAGCCTGTTGATTTTCAATAGAAGGATGTTTAATGTATTTATGATATAATTTGTGTTTGTTTTTACATGAAGTTATGATACCTTGAGTTAACCATGGCTTACTTGAATTTATGAACATTTTAACTGTTTTTGATCTTAGAGGGAAATGTATATTATATAGATTTGTGATTAAATTTTCAAATTTTATGTATGCTAAGTTAACATCCCTTTCTGTAAGTATCTCATTCCAATTTATATTTGCCAAATCAAAGTTAAAATTTATTATAGCTTTATCATTAATTTGTCTAAATTTGAAAGTTTTGGCCTCGATTTTACAAGTTGTATGCCGAGTTATGGTAAAAATGGCCAAATGATCTGATATTGGAAAAGTTGAAAGACCAGATATGTCAATTTCATTTGAATTTGTAAATATATTATCTATTAATGTAGCTGACATACTTGTTATCCTTGTAGGTTTATAAATTAGTGGATATAATGAATGTATTCAATATTTCAAGAGGAGAAAAAGGCGGATTTTCTTCATATTTGGTGGAAAGATGTATATTCGTAAATATCTTTTTATAAGATAAAATGGGAAAATAAAGTGACAGTAACTCATTTCGTACTTTTAAAAAGTAGATCACTGAATTTTCCCATTTTTCAGTTCAGAAAAAACAGAGCTGTGTTCGATTATTTCGGCCTTTGTCTTTTGGTATGAACAGAAACATTTTTGCTTGACAATAATTTAAATAAAAAATGTGTATTTGCTTGACACATTCTGTCATGCAAAAAAACAGCCATGACTTCAATTTCTTCAGCAAATGTGTGACAAATACACATACTATCTATTGCAAGACTAATGCCTTGTACAACCGTCACCATGTTATAAAGTGTTTTTAAGTTCCGCAAGGATCCTGCCATGACCGTGGTAGTGTTATCGTGAAAGCCTGGTATAACTGTGACAGTGCTACATTATATTGCAAGGCCTGTCATGACCATGGTAATGTTAAAACCTGATATGATCCTGACAATGTTCACGTTCTTGAATGAGATTAGAATTATAGTTTGTGTTAAAGTAGCAGTAATCTAGATTTGCATATTAAGATAGTTAAACGATGAAATTTTTCATTACAGTATTCTCATGCTACTAAAGGTCAGTTAATATAACCATTGTCACGGTCATATCGTGCTTTAACATTACCATGGTCATGACAAGCCTTGCAACCATTGTCAAGATCAAATCAGGCTTTAACATTATCAAGCTTTAACATTACCACGGTCATGACACCATTGATAGGCCTTGCAACCATTGTCACGGTCATATCAGGCTTTAACATTAGGCTTTAACATTATCAGGCTTTAACATTACCACGGTCATGACACCATTGATAGGCCTTGCAACCATTGTCACGGTCATATCAGGCTTTAACATTAGGCTTTAACATTATCAGGCTTTAACATTACCACGGTCATGACAGACCTTGCGGCCATTGTCACAGTCATATCAGGCTTTAGCATTATCACGCTTTAACATTACCATGGTCATGACAAGCCTTGCAGCCACTGTCACGATAATATCAGGCTTTAATATTACCACAGGTATGACACTACCATGGTCATGGCAGGATTCTTTCGCAACTTAAAAACACTTAATAAGATGGTGACGGTTGTGCCAGGCATAAGTCTTACAACAGATAGGGTCTCGACAAATACTCAAATTGCGGGACAGTAGGACAGCCTGGAGTATATATTTAAATAGTAACATTTGACTCTTTGCGGATTGCATCAAAATGGTTGAAAGTACACATTAAGGACAGGGTGCATGTTGGGAAATTTTCTGCATTCCTCAATTGAGTCACATGTTATTTTTCAAACAAGAATAACTCCTTCCCCACATTGTCTACATCTTCCAAGTTTGCACAAAGAGTGCACTTATGTGCCTAGAAAAGCCTTGTGAGAAGGTTTGTTTTGTAAAATGTATAAAAGATGAGAAAATTCAGTGAAAAAGATTTCTGAAAATTTTCTGATTTTTTTCACTGAATTTTCTTGTTTTTTATACACTTTATCAAAACATTCTTCTCACAAGTCTTTTCTAGGCACATACGTGTACTCTTTGTGCAAAACTGGAAGATATAGACAATGTGGGGAAGGAGTGATTCTTGTTAGAAAAATAACATGTGACTCAATTGAGGAATGCAGGAAATTTCCCATCATGCACCCTGTCCTTAACATTCATACCTATAATTTCAGCAATCATAAACAGTGTTGATAACACCGTAACTGCAATGAGCTGGTTTCGCGCTCTGTTTATTGGTTCTTGCTTCTTCCTGGGATGACAATGGTGTTTTGATAATGCATACATTTCCTGTTCAGCAAGATCACTGCTGCCATTGTTCATAAGTATGGGTACAGAAGTGTTTACATTTGGAACCCATGACCCATTTTGTGAAGTTTCACTCCCACCAGATCTTATAAAATGTCCTTGGGAATCATCTGTTTGTATTACTAAACGGGGGGTTGCAACACCCCTAAAGCTGACATCAACGTCTGGTGGAGCATCAGTGTTGTAAACCAATCGGCCTCTACTCGACCTATTTGAACTATGGGGGTTTGAAAATGGGTTGACAGCGATTTCTTCATCATCCAACATTTCTTCAGCCATTTTTGTTTACAACTGGGAGCATTCAATATGGCATTTTCACCAATTAAGAAAACAACAATTCCATCAATGAATTAAGGGTAACTTGAAATAAATTTTCAAATAATTTAATTTTACGACCTAATGGCACAAGATTGTGATATTTTCAATTGATTCAAATAAATAAAAGAAATGTTTCGTTTTATAATTTTCAAAGTTTGCTTTTTCATTACCAACTTCCGGTGCAATTTTCTCAAAAACAACTTTGTAAAATGCTATAAATTCATGCATTTTTAGTTAACTGGACTCAAAATCAGAATAAAACTTCCATAAGAAAATATCTTTATACACTATTTCAGTATATAAACGGCATAAAGACGCAAAAACACAGTGTGACGCCAGAAGCAGTATCTGAAGTGAAGGTCAAACTTATTTTTCATTTTATTTGTAAAGAGAAACCTAGCAGATAGCCTTAGACTAGCTACTAGTGTTGTCGCGATGTGCCATAATCGTGCATCGATGCATCGGCAATTTTCAGTAGTAAACATCGATCCACATCGCGATGTAGGGCGAAGGGGTGTAACGTCGACACCATTTTGGGGTAACTTCGACATGTGGGGTAACTTCGACACCTTGTTGTTTATCTGCTCTAATTTCCAATCTAGGGGGAAGCCATGTTTTTTTTTCTCGCATGGATCAAGATCTCGCGAGATTTTAATTTTTCCAGAAATCAAACATGGCGGAAAACGGAAATTCTACTTCTAATACATAAGTGTCGAAGTTACCCCGTCTATTATGTCGACATTACCCCACACGTCGACATTACACCCCTTTGCCCTACATCGAGAAAAAATCTGAGAAAAGTGCACTGAAATACCGAATACTAATGCACTAAAATACTGAACAGAACAAATTAATAAGAGTACGCTGGTACATCCGGGAACTTCGAATAACGGTGAAATGAAAGTAAAGTAAATTTTTTTAGATTAATGGTTCATTTCGACTAGCTAAAACAGTTTTAAGGTGCTATGGAAGTTAACAGGAAATAACAAAACAAAAATTGTCAAAACCATGCTGGATTTTGAAAAAAATTTGAACCAAGATAACAGAGTTCTATTTGGACCTCCAGTCAGTTTAACTAGTTCCACATATCATTTACATGACTGTGAACACAATGGAAATGGTCAGAATGACCATAAACATGATGAAATAACCTTTTCAGCCCTCTGAAAATGTGACTGAAAAATAGCTAAAAGTAGGTGCTCAGGAAAGGTCAGTGAACAGAATCTTTTGACTTTTTCAGAAAATGTGCCCAATATATTGCTCTAAATGATACAATTTTAAAAAATTTCACATCATTCTTAGAAAAAGAAAAAACATGAAAAAATTTAAAATCGATCTATTTTCCTTTTTACTCCAGCCATTATTGTTTCAGACGATTTTTTAAAATTTCAAAGATTGTATCATTTAGAGCAATATATTGGACACATTTTCTGAAAAAATCAAAAGATTCTGTTCACTGACCTTTCCTGAGCACCTACTTTTAGCTATTTTTCAGTCACATTTTCAGAGGGCTGAAAAGGTAATTTCATCATTTTTATGGTCATTCTGACCATTTCCATTGTGTTCCCAGTCATGTAAATGATATGTGGAACTAGTTAAACTGACCGGATGTCCAAACAGAACTCTGTTATCTTGGTTCAAAAAATTTTCAAAATCCAGCATGGTTTTGACATTTTTTGTTTTGTCATTTCCTGTTAACTTCCATAGCACCTTAAAGTGAAAGAATATCAGAAAACATTGGAAAATGAAATAAGACATGAGAAAGGTTAAGCGATTTGTGTCAAAATAAGATAAGAAGGGTGATATTTAGCAAATTAATTTTTTTTTAAAACATCAATGCTTTGTTTCAGACATCGATTCAGCCATTATCGTACATCAATTCATCAGCAATTTTCAATAGTTAAGGTGCCTTGGAAGTTAACAGGAAATGACAAAACAAAAAGTGACAAAACCATGCTAGATTTTGAAAAATTTTTGAACCAAGATAACAGAGTTCTGTTTGGACATCCGGTCAGTTTAACTAGTTCCACATATCATTTACATGACCGGGAACACAATGGAAATGGTCAGAATGACCATAAACATGAGGAAATAACCTTTTCAGCCCTCTGAAAATGTGACTGAAAAATAGTTAAGAGGAGGTGCTCAGGAAAGGTCACTGAACAGAATCTTTTGACTTTTTCAGAAAATGTGCCCAATATATTGCTCTAAATGATACAATTTAAAAAAAATTGATATCATTCTTAGAAAAAGAAAAAAATGAAAAATACTGAATTGAAAATCGATCTGTTTTCCTTATTACTACAGCCATTATTGTTTCCAACAGTTTTTTGAAATTTCAAAGGAAAATCTCTGAGGATTTGCAACTTCTCACATCTGGGGACCAAAACGCCGCTAAAACGAGGGACTTTGTAAACAAAAGCAATTGTCTCGACTGAAAGGTATTTCTGTAAAGGTTTTAATGGAACAAGTTTGAAGAAAAACGGTGTAGTGTGAGACTCACAATCATCGATTTTCCAAAGATGGGGTAGATTTGAAATTCAAATTAACGGTTTTTCGGGGCGTTTTGGTTTCGATATGCCCCGGTGAGTTAGTACCGCGTGTTCATGTAGTTTTAAGTGTAATTGAATTTATTGAGTATTTTGTATTAGGTTTAATCACCATGTCTGGTCAACCCACAACAATCAACCTGTCAAACTGGAGGATAGAAGATGTGGTTGGGGGGCTCGCAGCTGACTTTGATGGATCTATGTCTGGGCTTGGAGTGGAACTGGGGGGTAACTCCACTGCTTATAACATGAGGTATGTCTGGGCTTAGAAGATGATATCACCCCATTAGTTGTCCTAAATAAAAAATTCAACACTTGGCCTGGATGCAGTAGTTAACATTTCATTTGTATGAGCAGAACACACACAGCTATAATCTGAATTTTTCCATTACGGGGAGGAAATATTTCAACTTATTTTCCTCTTTTATTTTACTTCTTTAGAAGCTATGGGCCTAGAACTCAGTTAAACTTCATCTAAATTGTCAATGTTCTACTTGGTTTAAATTATTTTTAGCAACCTTATATACTGTATATAGATTTATACTGTATGAAACAATGCCATTGTAAAATGCATTCTTTCCTGCATTATTTCTATTTTATTTCAGTGAAGCCCTGTTAGCACTGCCAGTATTCAAGCAGGAGAATATGGAAAATGGGTAATAATTTTAATTCTCTTTTTGTTCATTGATAAATTCAAATACTTAAATACAAGAAGCACAAGTTGAATTTCATTCTTTACAGTACTAGGGATGTTATTAAAAGTTGGGTTGTTTATTTTCTCTGTGAAAATCTCAAAAAGATTGGTATCGATATGGCGAACTGAATTTAACATTGTTTTTCTCATGCACCATTTATTGAAAACATTCTGTAAAAAAACACAGTCCTTCATTTAATTGTCACTGATTTTTGTCACAACATGGCTCGTTTGGGTCAGATAGCACATTGGGTATCGTAGAAAGTTCCCTTTAACTTAAATTAGATCTGTTTTAGTGGTTCAATTTTCATATAAATCCTTATGTACAGGGTGACCCAAAAAACAGAACCCTCCAAAAATAAAATAATTTCTTTAATACACATCTAATCAGCTTCATTTTTCATGTACAGAAACTACAATCTATAGATCAAATTTATGATATAGCATTTCTTGTTATGGTCAATTAAAAAATGTGCCCACTTTTGAAAGAAAACAAAATGTAAGATTTTCGTGTCAATCAAAAGGTTACACATCATTTGTTTAAACCAATCGCATTTGTTTACTTTCTTTTTAAGCTGCATTTTGTGAGTTTAGAGGTTGAAATCATAAATGAGGAAGTGTCCCAGCAACCTTTAAGCCACCTTTAGGTATGGCTGCACATTTTGAGTGATATCTTCAAACTGCGTTCCATGCAATCACACACAGTGCTTTCAGGTGTTCTCATACCCCCATTCTTAGAAACATCCCTAGATAAGTGTAACCTGATCATTTTTTCCATTCAGGTGTTTCGCAGTTCTCCTTTCTTCCTCTTCCAACTCATTATCAAATATTTGACTTTGAAATCACATGTTATGCAATGCTCCTAACTGATCAATCTGCTGTCTTTCTGATTTCTTGAGAATTCATTCAATGGAATTTCGTACAGTGTTTGAGAAGTTCTTGCTCAGAGGCCAGGAATTACAGTTATCTGATGTTTTACTAGATGTTTCATCATTGCATGTTTTTATTTTTCAATTAAAATATTAAATGAGACTTTCATTTCATGTCTTCTTTGGAATTATCTTTTGAATTTCTCATGAATCTCAAGATATGATTTTGTCTCAATGTTTATTTTTCGAAAATTGGACACATTCTAAGATCGTACATGATATCACAAATGATAATTTCTGTGTAACAAACTTGGTATCATATTATCATCCATAGATTTTAGTTTATGCACATAAAGAATTAGGTTTATGGGATAGGTATTATAAAGGGTTCTGTTTTTGGGTCACCCTGTATCTAATAGTGTTATGCATATTAAAATATGTCCAGTTAAAGAAAATGTTATCTGTCCAATACAAGAAAAGATATTTCACTTTTTGTGATTTTGTAACATGGGGTCTATGGGAATCAACCTGAACAAGAAGTCATATTTTCAAAAAAAATTAAATTTTCAAAGTTGATAAACAATTTTCGAAACCATATTTCTAGATGTACTTTTACATGTAGATTTCAAATCAAGATTATTTCTACTCGCATCAAGTCTATTACAATATTGAGACACCTAAACACGTTGTGTAAATGTCATTTTGTTCCAATGATGTTTGGATAGATGTATCATTTCATTCCGAGCATATGATACCAAGAATACAAGATGTGTCTGATGTGTTTTCTAAAACAGTATAGAGAAATTATAGAGAAATTGTTACCATTAAAAAGATGATCATTAAATTGACGATGTGTAAAATTTTCAGAATTTTTTGATGACTGGTTTAATTTACATTTAATTTAACAAGGTCAATTTACAAAAACAAGATCAGGTAGTTGACACTATATTTCTATTCTGTCCCAGCTCTATATTAGTGTTATTCAAACAATGTAGACTTGTGTGATATACATAAACATGTAATTTATGTTTTAAGGTACCAATACATCATGAGTGCCGCTACCTCACCAGCAACAAAGCTCAATGAAGAGACACTCACATATTTGAATCAAGGTAATTAAACATGCTTGCTGTTTTTAAATATTCAAAACAAAACCCCCCAGTTGTTCGCTAGGTAAACCGAGATTAAAAGAAGTTTTGAAATCCTACAATTTTTTTATTCAGAAAATTTTCTTATTCTTATATTTATCACAATTCTTAAAGTAAATGAATGTTTTAAAGTTAGGCAAAGTTAGAGGGTCACAGTAAGTAAAAATAATTAAAAGATAAATAAAGAAGAAGAGGAGTTCTTTAATCTAAATTATTACCACCTTGCCGGGCCTGTTCTAGGGGTATTAGTGCTAGTTTAGAAGGCATTTATTTTACTATATAGACCTAAGCAATATGTGACGTCATAGTGGCGGGCCAATAAAGCATTAAAAGCCCGGCAATTTTCCCCGGGAAATTAGATATTGTTCATTGCGTAAGATTTTCTTGCTATTTCAGCCCTGGGCATTAACGGTGGTAATAATGCTAAACGTCATTCTGCGGGCAATATAGTGAAATATTGGACCTTGGGCCTCCCTGAGTCCAATATTTCACTGCATTGCCCTTCGAAATGATGTTATTGTGCTATTATGATATGCATTAGACCCTACCTAGAGTAACCCTCCTTTCCCTAATAGTTTCATTTATTAATACAACACCATAGTTGCAAATATGCATGATTACACTTTGTTTTACAAAATGACCATTTTGCTAAAATATTTTGCTAAAAAAATATTTTTTACATTTATCAACCACGTTCATTATTCAGTCAAACATATTCCATGTATTTAATGTTTCAGGTCAGTCATATGAAGTGAAACTGAAAAAACTAGGAGAAGACTGTCCAGGAAAACTATATAGGGTGAGTCATGAGGATCAAACATCAGGGGGAAGTTGAAACAACAAGCCTAGTATTTCTACTTATTTCTATAGAGAAAGGATGCAGGTTTAATGACATTGATGAAATAAAACAAACTATATGACTCCATCTTGCTACCATGTCAGAGAATGGATTAGGCCTTGTCTCACAACCTTGGGTTAAGAGGATTAGGAAGTGTGTACATGTAGCACTTGATGGAACCTATGCAGAGGGCCCTGTAGAATGAATGTGGCATGAATACCACATATTGATGATAGAATATTCAAAATCAACTAAGGCATATCAAAATGTAATTCATGACCATCATGATTAGTTTTGTTCAGCCTGCATTCAACTGCATTGCATGTTAAACAAGCTAAAATAGCTTCAGAGTCTGTGACGTTATGTCAGTCCCGGGGTACCTATACCTCCTTCACGGAAGTAAAGATATATCAAAATATATAACATGTCAAATCTTCAGAGTTGATAGATAATTGAATGATGTTTCACTGGTGAGAAAATCAAAGGGATTGGTCTATAAAAAGCATCTGTTTAAAAAAGCGTCCATTACTTATTGATCACCTCTCGTATTATTAGCTTTTTGATTCATGCTTTACTGGGTTCTGTAGTTTGTACTCGGACAATATAAATGTGTTGCTTAGGAACAATTTAACATAGCAAATACTTTTGAGGGAAATTACTCCAGCAAATTTTCATACACATTCTTTCATATTGAAACAATATTCTGAGATTTGTTCAATCCACCATTGGTGTGTTGTCCCTTTTACATTACATTGTAATTGTTCTTCCTATCAATTTCTGTTTGAAAGATTGACTGCAAGCATGTAAGATTATGAATTAAATGATAGAACGGCCGATTGAGCTGTGTCACAGACTTGTCAATTGAACATGACATCAAGACTATTATAACCTTACTGCAGAAGATCATCATTATATGTGCTTTCACATTATCACTACATCTTAGTATTTATGTCTTTCATAAATACAAGGAAGATATTTTGAAATGAGAAACTCTGCCCTGGAGAATTACATGTAGGGGACCCTACTCTAGTTACTAGAAAAAAATGTAATCCAGTCACTCATTACTTAAAATGTTCACACAATGATACAAATGGCAATTTAAGAAATCATAATGTTGTAAGCCAAATTTGCAAGAGTAGTTCAAGTTGATTTCATATTTATTAAGTGCCAACACTATTTATTAATGTTAGACAGTTATAGTAATTAATTTTGCAAATCATCCTCAAAATATGAGAAGTATTATTTTCTCCTTGCAGAGTGTGATCAAGGTGGCATTTCACGATCGTCGTCTTCAGTACATGGAGAAAGAACAAATTGACAACTGGAAGTGTACTCGACCTGGGGATAGACTCCTTGATATAGGTCAGTTAAACTTCATGTAGATCAGTGCTCAGTAGACCTTATTATACTATACCATCAATTTATATGTTATATTGCTTGTTATGGACGTATTCCTTATGGGCATGCAATGTATGCATATTTAAGTCATTGTTTGACCAATCGGGATATGTATTTTTTAGATATTCCTCTATCGTATGGCTTGAATGATGTCAGATTGGATGCAACACGTCTGAACGCTGCTGAATTTATATGGGATCCCTCAAAGCCAACAGGCATATACATACGGATACATTGTATAAGCACAGAGTTTACACCTAAGAAACATGGTGGAGAGAAGGGGGTGCCATTCCGTATACAAGTAGAGACTTACACGCATACTGACCCTCCTGAGTTGCTTCATTGCGCCTCATGTCAAGTTAAAGTCTTTAAGGTAACTCCTTCTTTTATTCCTGAAACACATGTTCATGTTCTGCATATTATAATCCACAGTTTTGGCTTTTCACCCATTATAAGATTACCAATTTAGATCGTAAATAATCCATTTATCATGTCATCCTTTAATATGAGAGCGCATGTCTATGTTTAATAAAATCCGCCTAACATGTTCTCAAAATGACAAACTTACGGTTCATCATAGTTATTATTTATGAGTTGTCATAGTTACTTATCAGTTGTCATAGTTATTTATCAGTTGTTGTACTAATATAATTGGATCACTTTCTGATTACTACTTTCTTCTTGATTCATGCGTTAAAATACTAGCAACATTTTAAGTGTGTGTCCTGTTTCAATGATTGCATAACTTATATTTTGAATTTTGCTTTTGTAGTTAAAATGGCACTGTAAAATGCTCTTTCATTTGTCAAAACTACGATAAAAACTTCTGTTTCTGAGATTTACTTTTTAAGATTCTGAACTTGTTTGTTTTCAAGTTGTAAAAAGGGATTTTATATTGCAATGAGTCAAATAGAAATATTTTGATAAGATTTTCTTTTGCATCCTGGACTATAGATAGTGTTGTATCAACACACTGTTCCCATTTATATATCACTTTTGTTTTATTAAAACATTTTGGCTGATTGAGGAACAGAGTTAAACATCATTCAAAGGCTTGTATGGGACGTCTCAGTCTACATGGGAATGGGTGGGGATTACAGAGCTGTCAAGTGTCCCACGAATGGCGGGATTATCCCGCGAATTTGATCAAAATTAGGCTAATTCGCGTGTCCCGCAATGTCCCGCGAAGTCCCGCAAATGTGGTTTTGACCTCCGCGAATTTCCGAAATTGTTGCAATCCCCTATATTGTGATTATCTTATCTTATATAAGAAGCCAAGTTTTTGCACTTTTGAGGAGTAAAGTTTACCTAATTTTAAGTACCTAGCATGCTGTTGTTTGGCATCAAAATAAAGAGGAAGGGTTCAACTTTCATTTTAATTACGAAAATAGGGATGTAGGTCAAAAATAGTTCTAACATTGGCCTTTTTACTATCCGTGTGGTCATCTCAGAACTGAGCAAATGTTAGCAAACGCGAGTTACAATAAATGGACGCTGATATCTAGGGTTTGTAGAAAAACCGGGTACCGGGTAGTAAATCCTCCATGCTGGGTTCAAACTTGGTACCCGGTACACGGTCAAAAAACGGGTACCCAAAAAACGAAAAATACGAATATATAACATAATTATTAGATTATGAGAAAACGTGTAAGATTTGTTTTGAACACAAAAATGTATGTATCCTTCAAAATTGAGCTAGAAGCTTCAAATAAAAAGCATATTTAAGGCTCTTTTCTTCCTCTATCGTCATGGCCATATTTTCATTGGTTATGGGGGGGGGGGGGGTGCGATCGCACCATCTCCTGGCTACGCCTATGACATTGTAAGACATAACAATTTACAATTCGATCGCACCCCCCCCCCCCCTTCATTACCAATGGAAATATGACCATGATGATAGAGGACGAAAAGAGCCTTAAAATGCTTTTTCTTTGAAGCTTCTAGCTCAATTTTGAAGGAAGTTACATACATTTTTGTAAATTCAAAACAAATCTTACACGTTTTCTAATGATCTAATTATGTTGCATAATCGTATATTTCGTTTTTTGGGTACCCGGTTTTTTCGACCGGGTACCAAGTTTGAACCCAGCATGGAGGATTTACTACCCGGTACCCGTTTTTTTCTACAAACCCTATCTAGAAAAGTAACCCCATTCCCTATAATTTGATGTAGATTAATCGAACCCCTATATCATGGGCTTTCAATTGAAAGAAAATGCCTACAGTATATGAATAGGTACATTTTAATATATAACATTACTGGGGTAAGCGTTTCATAGTTGTTCACGACGCCAGAAATGCAAAGTATTGTTCCGAATTTTTGAATTTCGTGTTAGATTACGGTACTCACACCTGAAGCATGGTTTTTGCTTTTGAAAAATTACAATAAAGTTAATAATATTCCTATACGTATTTTGTGAAATTGTGTTGACGTTTATTTAAGTTACAATACAACGGTGCATTGTATTTGATTAATCAGTATTTGGAAGTTATTTACACGCTTTTACATTAGTCCCAATCACGCAAATCCTTGAATGTCCCAGGACATCCTGCAAATTTAGGTAAATGTCCCGCGAAATCCCACAAATTTAGGGCACTTTGTCTAAAAAATCTGTCCCTCTATCAAGTTTTTGGCGTTAAACCTGTTAACTATCCCGCAATTAGGGTGTTTGTCCCTCGAATGGTCCCGCGAAATCCCGCGAATTTGAGAAAAAAAAGTTGGCCTATTAGCGCAATCACGCAAATCCCTTAAATGTCCCGCGAAATCCCGCGAATTAAGTAGATGTCCCGCAAAATCCCGCGAATTTTGGGCACTGGGTCTAAAAGATCTGTCCCGCGAGAAAATCTTTAGGGGTTGACAGTACTGGGATTAACGACAAATAAAAATTTAGCTGCCAAGTTTCTTCACCTTGGAGCAGCCTTGTGAGTTAGTTTTCCCACCGTTGAGCAATACTAGTTCAAAATTCCACCCCTGGGACTATACTGTGTGTCAATCCCAACCCTCCCTACAATGGGCTCTCACACAAATATTCAAATGATGTATTAATGAGACTGCCCTCCCCCCTTATTTTTCAATAGTTTCATTAAAAACCTCTATTTAATAATATTTGCTTTCTAATGCTGCTTTTTGTGCCTTATTTTGATTACAATCATGTCGAGGTCACATTGACCTTTGCAATATCCTGAATGTAGAGATTACAGTTAACTTGGATTCTAACCAGTTCTATCAGGTTTTTATATTAACAACAGTTAATATAGTCAGTGTAAACATAAGTGGATGTGAGCCAATACATTAACAAACAGGATTTGGGATGATGTTTTTTGATTTATCATCATGAATTATAAAAACAAAATGAACTTGTATGTCTGTCTGAGTTGCTTTATATTCAGATTTTTATTATAGTTTTTTCATTTTTTGGTTTTAGACATAGAGGAAAATTATCATTTCATTGATTTTGAGATTTCTTTTAAGTCACAACTAAATTTGTTATACCTGATATATATTTTTGCAAATGAATTTACAATGCAGAACAGTATTGTTTCTGTTTTTATTAGATCACGTTGACCACATACATATATTATAATATACACTTTCATTTTATTTTGTCAAATATAAAATGTTTTGTGATTTATGACTTTTTTTTGCTTCCATGCTGTATTGAGAAACTCTCTATTTACACTACAGCAAAATCTGTACATTGGAAGACGAGTTCGAACACCTTTTCAATACAGTGAACACCTTTTTAAATTCAGTGAACATCTTTTTCAATACAGTGAACATCTTTTTAAATACAGTGAACACCTTTTTGAATACAGTGAACACCTTTTTAAATTCAGTGAACATCTTTTTAAATACAGTGAACACCTTTTTAAATACAGTGAACACCTTTTTAAATACAGTGAACATCTTTTTAAATACAGTGAACACCTTTTTAAATACAGTGAACACCTTTTTAAATACAGTGAACACCTTTTTGAATACAGTGAACACCTTTTTAAATACAGTGAACATCTTTTTAAATTCAGTGAACACCTTTTTAAATACAGTGAACATCTTTTTAAATTCAGTGAACACCTTTTTAAATACAGTGAACACCTTTTTAAATACAGTGAACACCTTTTTAAATACAGTGAACACCTTTTTGAATACAGTGAACACCTTTTTAAATACAGTGAACATCTTTTTAAATTCAGTGAACACCTTTTTAAATACAGTGAACATCTTTTTAAATTCAGTGAACACCTTTTTAAATACAGTGAACATCTTTTTAAATACAGTGAACATCTTTTTAAATACAGTGAACACCTTTTTAAATACAGTGAACACCTTTTTAAATACAGTGAACACCTTTTTGAATACAGTGAACACCTTTTTAAATACAGTGAACATCTTTTTAAATTCAGTGAACACCTTTTTAAATACAGTGAACATCTTTTTAAATTCAGTGAACACCTTTTTAAATACAGTGAACACCTTTTTAAATACAGTGAACACCTTTTTAAATACAGTGAACACCTTTTTGAATACAGTGAACACCTTTTTAAATACAGTGAACATCTTTTTAAATTCAGTGAACACCTTTTTAAATACAGTGAACATCTTTTTAAATTCAGTGAACACCTTTTTAAATACAGTGAACACCTTTTTAAATTCAGTGAACATCTTTTTAAATACAGTGAACACCTTTTTAAATACAGTGAACACCTTTTTAAATACAGTGAACACCTTTTTAAATACAGTGAACACCTTTATTGATCTCCCCAGCATTGAAGGTATAGATGGCACTTAACCAGCTTGTGATTTCAAACATAGACTTTTTCCAGCTTTTTGACCAATTTTTCTCAAATCTTTGAAATTCAGAAATTTGGTGAGACAGCAGCTTACATATCATTAGAACCTTTGGGGGAGGGGATCATGGCATATTAGGATTAACCTTAATAAGCTAGTCTGTGTTTGCATAAAACAGGGTTTAGTGTATTTGCAAGTAAACAACCAGTTGATGAGAAGTCTAGGTAATGTTGGTCATAATAAAGCTAGCTTTAACTAGATATTGCAAACTACCTAAATAGAAATAGGATGTTGAGGAACTATTCACACTTGTACAGTTTAAATTTCACCCATTATTGCAGCCTAAGGGAGCAGATAGAAAACACAAAACTGACCGAGAAAAGATGGGGAAGAGGTCGGAAGCTGAAAAAGAAAAATATCAACCCTCCTATGAATGTACGGTGCTTACAGAGGTAATCATTTATTCATTATATACATTGCACTCATTAATTTAAATGTAGTTGATTTTATTCTGACATAGTGTTTGTGGTTGTCAATTTATGTATTTGACATTTTAGAATTGGCTGGCCATTTCTGGTGGTGCAAAAGTAATTATCTAGAAATTTACATTTCCAACCAAAGTAATAAGTATTACTGTTTGAAATTGTGGTAGAGTTAATAACTTGTATCTATTCAACATTATTCCGTGTTTTTGTAGATATACAAATGTATGACTTTTTTATACTCAAATGAAAGGGATTTAAAGGAGACTTATATTATTTTTTAGATTTGTGCCTTGTAGAAAATGGCCACCTGTGTGGTGTCAGATTTTTCTTGAAATCTTTGTTTTTCATTTCCAGCCATAGTAATAGAAATCACTGTTTTGAATTTTGGCCTTTTAGTCAGAAATATATCCTTTTCACATATAATTCATATTTTTGGGGTCTTGATTGATGTGATATGATTGATATGGTGCAGCCCAATGAAAGACTTGGTGCACCTCTATTTTAGGACAACCCCATGTCTTAACAAAATACAACAAATTCTGTGTTTAGGTGCCCCTTGATATGGTGCAGCCCAAAGAAAGACTTGGTGCACCTCTATTCTGTGACAACCCCATGTTTTAACAAAATATTTCCAATTCTGTGTTTAGGTGCCCCTTGCTATGGTGCAGCCCAATGAAAGACTTGGTGCACCTCTATTCTGGGACAACCCCATGTTTTAACAAAATATTTCCAATTCTGTGTTTAGGTGCCCCTTGATATGGTGCAGCCCAATGAAAGACTTGGTGCACCTCTATTCTGTGACAACCCCATGTCTTAACAAAATACAACAAATTCTGTGTTTAGGTGCCCCTTGCTATGGTGCAGCCCAATGAAAGACTTGGTGCACCTCTATTCTGTGACAACCCCATGTCTTAACAAAATACAACAAATTCTGTGTTTAGGTGCCCCTTGCTATGGTGCAGCCCAATGAAAGACTTGGTGCACCTCTATTCTGGGACAACCCCATGTTTTAACAAAATACAACAAATTCTGTGTTTAGGTGCCCCTTGCTATGGTGCAGCCCAATGAAAGACTTGGTGCACCTCTATTCTGTGACAACCCCATGTCTTAACAAAATATATCCAATTCTGTGTTTAGGTGCCCCTTGCTATGGTGCAGCCCAATGAAAGACTTGGTGCACCTCTATTCTGTGACAACCCCATGTCTTAACAAAATATTTCCAATTCTGTGTTTAGGTGCCCCTTGATATGGTGCAGCCCAATGAAAGACTTGGTGCGCCTCTATTCTGTGACAACCCCATGTCTTAACAAAATATTTCCAATTCTGTGTTTAGGTGCCCCTTGCTATGGTGCAGCCCAATGAAAGACTTGGTGCACCTCTATTCTGTGACAACCCCATGTCTTAACAAAATACAACAAATTCTGTGTTTAGGTGCCCCTTGCTATGGTGCAGCCCAATGAAAGACTTGGTGTGTCTCTATTCTGTGACAACACCATCTCTTAACAAAATACAACAAATTCTGTGTTTAGGTGCCCCTTGCTATGGTGCAGCCCAATGAAAGACTTGGTGCACCTCTATTCTGTGACAACCCCATGTTTTAACAAAATATATCCAATTCTGTGTTTAGGTGCCCCTTGATATGGTGCAGCCCAATGAAAGACTTGGTGTGTCTCTATTCTGTGACAACACCATCTCTTAACAAAATATAACAAATTTTGCGTTCAGGTGCCCCTTGATATGGTGCAGCCCAATGGAAGACTTGGTGCACCTCTATTCTGGGACAACCCCATGTTTTAACAAAATATTTCCAATTCTGTGTTTAGGTGCCCCTTGCTATGGTGCAGCCCAATGAAAGACTTGGTGCACATCTATTCTGGGACAACCCCATGTTTTAACAAAATATATCAAATTTTGTGTTTAGGTGCCCCTTGATATGGTGCAGCCCAAAGAAAGACTTGGTGCGCCTCTGTTCTGTGACAACCCCATGTCTTAACAAAATATTTCCAATTCTGTGTTTAGGTGCCCCCTGATATGGTGCAGCCCAATGAAAGACTTGGTGCACCTCTATTCTGGGACAACCCCATGTTTTAACAAAATATTTCCAATTTTGTGTTTAGGTGCCCCTTGCTATGGTGCAGCCCAATGAAAGACTTGGTGTGACTCTATTCTGTGACAACCCCATGTCTTAACAAAATATATCCAATTCTGTGTTTAGGTGCCCCTTGCTATGGTGCAGCCCAATGAAAGACTTGGTGCACCTCTATTCTGGGACAACCCCATGTTTTAACAAAATACAACAAATTCTGTGTTTAGGTGCCCCTTGCTATGGTGCAGCCCAATGAAAGACTTGGTGCACCTCTATTCTGTGACAACCCCATGTCTTAACAAAATACAACAAATTCTGTGTTTAGGTGCCCCTTGATATGGTGCAGCCCAATGAAAGACTTGGTGCACCTCTATTCTGTGACAACCCCATGTCGTAACAAAATACAACAAATTCTGTGTTTAGGTGCCCCTTGATATGGTGCAGCCCAATGAAAGACTTGGTGCACCTCTATTCTGTGACAACCCCAGTCCAGTGCAGAGTCCAGGACCTTCCCCATTGGCCCCCATACCTGGCCCATCCACAAGTTTTTCTGGCAATAGGTAAATGTATTTTTAAATGTCATTGGTAAATGTATAGAAACAGACCTATATTGAAACCTGAAGAATGCATAGATTTTTAGTTGAGTTATCACCATGAATAATCCCTGCTTTATGTATTATGTGACATATTTTTACATTTAGATTTATAAGTTCTTTTCTGAAGAGATATTATTTATTCCATGCACCTCAATTGACTGCAGATAAAGAAAGGAGACTTGTCATTTCCTAAAATGCTGGCTTCTTATACTGTTATATTGAAATGCTGAAGTGGCAAAGAAAAAAATATTCAGAATTATTTATTATTGATTACTACTAAATTTATGTGTTATTTATTTATGTGTTTTTTCAGATCTCCAAGTTTAAATTCTTTAGAAGCGAACTACAATCCAAGTCCCCAAGAATCCACTGCTGAACTACTTATAACTGTAAGTCTACAATTACTAGATTACTGTAAGTCTACAATTACTAGATATACCTTGTAGGTGTTGATTGGCAAATGGAGATAAGGCAGCTGCCTCTCTTATTGTCGGTTATAGATTCATGACCACCTTTAATGGAGCCAATGACATATTCTGAACTGATATCGTGATAATTTGTAGTCTGACAAGCTCTTGTGAATAAGTTGAACTAAAGCTGTCAAATGGAAAACCAATGTAAACGGAAGACCTTTTGAAATTCTGTTAACTTAATGTGAGATAAACTCCTGTTAGTGGAACACCTCAAGTATTAGTATTACCATTAGTAAATCACACAAGCCAAGCCTCCTGGCCCTTACAATGTGTGGGTGTTACAGCAAGGACATTCTCACAAGCCAAGCCCCCTGGCCCTTACAATGTGTATGTCTTTCAGCAAAGGCATTCTCACAAGCCAAGCCCCCTGGCCCTTACAATGTGTGGGTGTTATAGCAAAGGCATTCTCACAAGCCAACCCCCCCCCCCCTGGCCCTTACAATGTGTATGTCTTTCAGCAAAGGCATTCTCACAAGTCAAGCACCCCCCTGGCCCTTACAATGTGTATGTCTTTCAGCAAAGGCATTCTCACAAGTCAAGCACCCCCTGGCCCTTAGAACAGAAGCACTCGTTGCCATAAGTCGCGCCCTCAAAACCCGGGTTTGCCGTCATCCAAACCCGCCTTTGCAAAAAAACGAACGGTGCATTATTTGACTCGTTCGTGTTATTTTCGATACTTTTCAAACCAGAATTTTCATTGTTTTTATTAGAAGGGTTCCTCGTAATTAACTCTTAACTATGGATATGTTGACTTAACTACAACGGACTTTTAACGAGATGTTTTGCGCATAGGGTTATAAAGTGTCTTGTATGATGCGCCCTCAAAACCCGGGTTTGCCGTCATCCAAATCCGCCTTTGCAAAAATGTGAACGGTTCATGATTAGAGTCATTCGTGTTATTTTCGGGAGTTTTCAAACCTGGATTTATTTTCTTTTATTTGAAGATCCTTGTTATCAATTGTAATAGTGTAAGATTTTGGCCCAGACTGACACAACGAAAATTGTCAACACTGGAGGATGGTAATAGCTCGTAATTGTATTTAAATCAAATATTATCCATATTTATGAATAAAAATAGTATGTCAAGTTCCTCATCTCTACTGGTCAATTTTCCTTGCTTTAGTAGCCGTTGAACTGATACATTATCTTAGTCAAAATAGAGAACGAACGGATATAAGGGGTCTTCTAGCTTTGCACATTTTAGACCAATCATAATACATAACTTTTTCTAATATGTTTAACGTCTTGGTAGATAAAAAATAACACGTATAAAATTCTAATAAAACAAACTTTTATATTTCGTGGCCTCATTAAACACTTATTTCGTTTGGAATGGCCTTAAACCCTGGTCCGCGAAACACACATTTAAATAAGGGATTGGCGCACCCGGGTCTGACTGTAAACCTCCTGTTCACTGTCGTATGAATTATGAATGTAGTTTTGCACAGTTGTCAACGGAAACAAACAGTGAACCCTGCTTTCCCGAACCCGGGTTTCCAGGATTCGCCTCGCATGCCATCGACTCTTTCTCCCTTAGAATGTGTATGTCTTTCAGCAAGGACATTCTCACAAACCAATTTCTCCCCCTGGCCCTTACAATGTGTATGTCTTTCAGCAAAGGCATTCTCACAAGCCAAGCCCCCTGGCCCTTACAATGTGTGGGTGTTATAGCAAAGGCATTCTCACAAGTCAAGCACCCCCCTGGCCCTTACAATGTGTATGTCTTTCTGCAAAGGCATTCTCACAAGCCAATTTCTCCGCCTGGCCCTTACAATGTGTATGTCTTTCAGCAAAGGCATTCTCACAAGTCAAGCACCCCCCTGGCCCTTACAATGTGTATGTCTTTCAGCAAAAGGCATTCTCACAAGTCAAGCACCCCCTGGCCCTTACAATGTGTATGTCTTTCAGCAAAAGCATTCTCACAAGTCAAACCCCGCCTGCTTATTATGTATATGTCTTCTTTTTCAGCCATTATCTCCAGACTTTAATTCTGCTCAGGTGGCCAGCTGGATGCAGCAAAACAGATTCAATAATTATATTAAGGTAATTATTTATTATTAATTAACAATAGTAATTACAACTTATGAACAATTTGATATGTTTTTAGTCTTTGTAGATTATAGCAGTCAAAACAGTTTCTGATATACAACAAAGGCCGCGTACTCTTCATAGTAACAGGACAGAACGAGTCATTCCTCTCTATTTTCCTGATAACATTTTCAATTCATAAGAATTTTTCATGATATTCCTAACATACAAAAACTTTTGTTTAACTCATACTTAACTTAAAAACTGATCTCCAAAAAAAGTTCACGTCTTTTGTATAAAAATGATAAATCATCTCAATTTCTTCTATGTGACCAATTTAATTAATTTTATTCCATCCTGATTAAGTGAACCCCTCCTAAGTATATGTACCAAGAGCATTCAACTATTTCATATAGGTTCCATTTTACATGTTTGTTATTCCTTTTTAGGAAGTTTCCTCAGACATAATTTTCAGATTAATTTGTTTTATCTTCCAATTATTAAAGAAAACAAATAAATCTCATTAATTTCCTATTCTTCCCAGAAGAAAAATATGCATTGTTTTTAACACAAGTACAGAACCTTATGAAAATCAGGTGATTTATCAGTTTAAATCAAACCTTTTTTCAGGTATTCCAATATTTCTCTGGTGCAGACTTGTTGAGACTGACTAGGGATGACCTCATACAGATTTGTGGCCTCGCAGATGGCATCAGGTTGAACAATGCTCTCCAGCTGAAAGCAATACGTCCTCGTCTCACAATATATGTCTGTCAGGAGTCTGAACAAGGTAGGTTTCACCCATTTTTGTCAACAAAAATAAAATACAATTTTCAGGTAATGTTGTTTTTTAAATCTGGAGGTTGTCCAGGTTGAAAAGTGATTTCATTTCTGGGATAGTTACCATTATCATTTTAAGAGATCTTTAGGAGCTGTTAAAGTAAAAATTAAAAATTATGTTTTCAAAACATCCTTCCAGTTTATCATGCAGTGTATCTGGAGCATCTGTCAACTGTGGAGATCACAGAAAAATTTGCTGAGCTCTTTAGTATCACATCAGACAAGATTGTAGACATTTATGCCCAGGGACCTTCAGGAATACACATATTAGTCACAGATGAGGTAAGAATACATATATTAGTCACAAATAAGGTAGGAATACATATATTAGTCACAAATAAGGTAGGAATACATATATTGGTCACAGATTTGGTAAGAATACATATATTTGTCACAAATAAGGTAGGAATACACATATTAGTCACAGATGAGGTAAGAATACATATATTAGTCACAAATGAGATAGAAATACATATATTGGTCACAGATGAGGTAAGAATACATATATTAGTCACAAATAAGGTAGGAATACATATATTGGTCACAGATTAGGTAAGAATACATATATTTGTCACAAATAAGGTAGGAATACACATATTAGTCACAGATGAGGTAAGAATACATATACAGTGTGTCCCATAAAAAACGCAACAAACAAAAACATTGTAAAATCACAAAACCAGTGATGATAACATCAATTTGATTTAGTTTACCAGGAAGCCACATGTCTCCTCTTTCCAATGGTATGTCAGTTATTCATATAAAACCATGGACCACTGAATAATCATTCCTTTTGCACAACGTGCCAAAATCTGCTCTGGGCCAAGTTTAAGACATTGCAACAAAGAGTCACCAATGAGGTTGCTGCCCTCCGCCAGAACCCCAGATGATTCAAAGAGGTGTGCGACATGGACACAAAGGCCAGTCTCAGTGTTAAATAGTGGTCATGCGAAAGGGCATGGAATGTAATCTTTCATAAGTAATCTTTCATAAGATGACAGACAACGACTGTCTATGCCACTTTTTTCCATATGTCTTGCATTTTGTTACCTGAACCAACAAGAATACTGATGAATACTTAAAGTTAAATTTTCTTTTCATTTTTTCTTACTAAATCTAAATCAGAAACTTGTGTTATGTAAATTTTGTGACAAAAATTTAATCCCCAGTACCAATTACATAATGATTTACCTGATTGCACAATTAAGGATCAGTTGATTGATATTTCATTACTTGGCACAAAGGCCTTTTCACCCATGTACGAAAAAACAATGATTTTTCAGTGGTCCATGATCAGATATGAACAAATAACATACCATTGTAAAGGGGAGACACGTGGCTTCATGATAAACTAAATGAAATTGATGTAATCATCACTGGTTTTGTGATTTTACAATGTTTTTGTTTGTTGCGTTTTTTATGGGACACACTGTATTAGTCACAAATATGGTAGGAATACATATATTAGTCACAAATGAGATAGGAATACATATATTGGTCACAGATTTGGTAAGAATACATATATTTGTCACAAATAAGGTAGGAATACACATATTAGTCACAGATGAGGTAAGAATACATATATTAGTCACAAATAAGGTAGGAATACATATATTAGTCACAAATAAGGTAGGAATACATATATTGGTCACAGATTTGGTAAGAATACATATATTTGTCACAAATAAGGTAGGAATACACATATTAGTCACAGATGAGGTAAGAATACATATATTAGTCACAAATGAGATAGAAATACATATATTGGTCACAGATGAGGTAAGAATACATATATTAGTCACAAATAAGGTAGGAATACATATATTGGTCACAGATTAGGTAAGAATACATATATTTGTCACAAATAAGGTAGGAATACACATATTAGTCACAGATGAGGTAAGAATACATATATTAGTCACAAATAAGGTAGGAATACACATATTAGTCACAGATGAGGTAAGAATACATATATTAGTCACAAATAAGGTAGGAATACACATATTAGTCACAAATGAGATAGGAATACATATATTTGTCACAAATAAGGTAGGAATACATATATTAGTCACAAATGAGATAGGAATACACATATTAGTCACAGATGAGGTAAGAATACATATATTAGTCACAAATGAGATAGAAATACATATATTGGTCACAGATGAGGTAAGAATACATATATTAGTCACAAATAAGGTAGGAATACATATATTGGTCACAGATTAGGTAAGAATACATATATTTGTCACAAATAAGGTAGGAATACATATATTGGTCACAGATGAGATAAGAATACATATATTAGTCACAAATAAGGTAGGAATACATATATTAGTCACAGATGAGGTAAGAATACATATATTAGTCACAAATAAGGTAGGAATACACATATTAGTCACAGATGAGGTAAGAATACATATATTAGTCACAAATAAGGTAGGAATACACATATTAGTCACAAATGAGATAGGAATACATATATTTGTCACAAATAAGGTAGGAATACATATATTCATCACAAATGAGATAGGAATACACATATAGGTCACAGATGAGGTAAGAATACATATTTTGGGCACAGAATGAGTATGAATTCATATGTGCGAGTATTCCATACTGGATGAAGTAACTTCATGGACACATTAACTGGGAATATATTCCATATCCAGGTGAATATATTTCATCCCGCTCCAACCAGGATCCGGGATATATTATCATCCCACTCAAGCCGTTTTGCGGGACATACGATGGCTATATATCCCACCCCGGGAAATCCTGTCATAACTATTTGAGTATTGAACTGAGCAAAAGCTATCTGGCAGACAAACGGAGTGAACTAAAAAAGTTTTAAAACATTATAATGTGGATGAATTCTTCTTTTCTCCCCTAAGAAAACTCGTTTGGATGTTCATACTGAAGGAGTACTTGGCTACTTAGGAGAAACTCCGGCTGAAATAGTTATGACGGAATTCCCTGGGCGGATGGTCATTATTTCAAACCTCATCAGGTATGGAATACAGCAGTTTTGGAAATATCCCTTGGGATATACCAGGGGTGATCAATAAGTAATGGACGCTTTTCCCTTGGTCCCTTTGTGCCCTCGGGAAAATATATTGTATCCCTTGGGATAATACCTTATCCAAAACATCCCAGTGCATGCAATATGACTACCCCAACAACCCTATTTAACATTGTGAGTGTAGAAGAAAAAAACAGATCACTGGTCTGTGTTTTAGTGACAACTTGAATTCAGTAAATTAATTAAATTTTGACAGTCTTTATTCAGAAATTACCAAAAAATAACATAACTCATCTGTATATGATTTTTCTCAAAAACCAATAGATTAGAATTAATCCAGTACATTTACCTTACTTTCAGGTGCTACAAAACATTACAGATCAATCAAGATATGCCATAGAAACTATAAAAGGTGAGGTTTTGAATTTTATATGGAAATGACCAGTTACCTTAAAGGCCAACTCCTTTTTGAGCATGTTGAAGTTATAACTACAGGCCTTGTTTATTAATGATTGTTGATCTTGTTTGCGATAACTGATCTTTGTTTTATAATGGCCATTCATTGCTCTTTGTCTTGATTCATAGGCTTTGCTTTGGCTTGATTAGCTCAATCGATGGAAAGTGTGAAATCCCCCATAATTTCTTATTATTTTGTCTCTTTTTGAATTGCTGTCAAGTATATATACTTTATTTCTTACTTAGTTTAGTATACAATTGGTTGTTGTATGAGCCTCGATTTTTAAAAAAGATTAATGTTAACATTTTTTTCAGTTGAAACAATGAAAAGAGTCTTGTCATAGCATAGTGTTGATAACTCAGATTTGGTCTCATTTATTTAAATTTGCCTCGCTTTAATTAAATTTACCTCACTTATTCACATTTGCCTCAGCCGTTCTTGATGGATCCTGGCTTCGGCCATGCTACCATATGATCTGTTATGCTGATATCACATTCAGATCCAATAGATCTTTGATCTTGTGAAACAACTGTTTATAAATGATGTAACATTTTGTTTCCAGCTGATCAAGGGGATAATTATAGAATATTGTTGAAATGTATGGACCAATGAGGCCCAGTGTGATAAATATACTACTCACTCATTGGACAATATGGTACCTCACTACACAGCCCCCAATTGCTTTGAAATGTATGAACCAATGAGGTCCAGCGTGACAACTATACTTCTCACTCATTTGACAATATGGTACCTCACTACACAGCCCTCAATTGCTTTGAAGTGTATGGACCAATGAGGCCCAGCGTGACAACTATACTACTCATTCATTGGACAATATGGTACCTCACTACACAGCCCTCACTTGCTTTGAAGTGTATGGGCCAATGAGGCCCAGCGTGACAGCTATACTACTCACTCATTGGACAATATGGTACCTCATTACACAGCCCCCAATTGCTTTGAAATGTATGGACCAATGAGGTCCAGCGTGATAACCATACTACTCACTCATTGGACAATATGGTACCTCACTACACAGCCCTCAATTGCTTTGAAGCGTATGGACCAATGAGGCCCAGCGTGACAACTATACTTCTCACTCATTGGACAACATGGTACCTCACTACACAGCCCTCAATTGCTTTGAAGTGTATGGACCAATGAGGCCCAGCGTGACAACTATACTACTCACTCATTGGACAATATGGTACCTCACTACACAGCCCTCAATTGCTTTGAAGTGTATGGACCAATGAGGCCCAGCGTGACAACTATACTACTCACTCATTGGACAATATGGTACCTCACTACACAGCCCTCAATTGCTTTGAAGTGTATGGACCAATGAGGTCCAGCGTGATAATTATACTTCTCACTCTTTGGACAATATGGTACCTTACTACACAACCCTCAATTGCTTTGAAGTGTATGGACCAATGAGGTCCAGCGTGACAACTATACTACTCACTCATTGGACAATATGGTACCTCACTACACAGCCCTCAATTGCTTTGAAGTGTATGGACCAATGAGGTCCAGCGTGACAACTATACTTCTCACTCATTGGACAATATGGTACCTCACTACACAGCCCTCAATTGCTTTGAAGTGTATGGACCAATGAGGTCCAGCGTGACAACTATACTTCTCACTCATTTGACAATATGGTACAACTATACTACTCACTCATTGGACAATATGGTACCTCACTACACAGCCCTCAATTGCTTTGAAGTGTATGGACCAATGAGGTCCAGCGTGACAACTATACTTCTCACTCATTGGACAATATGGTACCTCACTACACAGCCCTCAATTGCTTTGAAGTGTATGGACCAATGAGGTCCAGCGTGACAACTATACTTCTCACTCATTTGACAATATGGTACCTCACTACATAGCCCTCAGTTGCTTTAGACTGTAGGTGGAATAGTGCTATTAATTTTTCATTAACATGGAGAGAATTGAGTGGGTTATCATCATATGGTCAAATGCTCCATACCTTGTATTAATGGCTGCTAAATCACGCTTACAGAATAGATGACAAAATAAATGGGACAAGTGGAGTTGCATGCAAAAAAGGATCATGTAATGAATTGCAAACAATTTTGGACAGCTTTTTTTTGACTTGGAGTATTATTGGACCACACTTCCCTTATTCGACATAAGAACAATATGTTATCTTCAATTTAACCACAAAAAATAAAATAAAATCGTCAACTGGATGATACAGATAGATCTGATTTGTAGCCCATCTCCTCAGTTTTTATGTCACCACCAGAAGTGGTGACACATTGTTTTATTATATACCCAATATGTAACACTAATCCTGATTGGTCAATACCTAGTCACGTGTTTCGAAATAGATTTACTATTTCCCTTTGAAAGTTATATTCCCTCAAATGTAAGAAGCGGGAATATATTTGTATATATTTATATATATTTGTATAATAGTCTCCAGCTTTTTGTGTGTTTGGTGGTCAGTGTTTGTAACAAATTGCAAAGGTGATGACATTTTTTATCTCTTGCATACAAGATTTTCTCTTTTTTTTAAATGAGGAAAACATTCTTATGTAAAACAAGGAATATGTGGTCCCTCAATACTGCCAGTATAGAATTAAAGGCTGTCCAAAATTTTTGCATTTTGGTCTTTTAAGGTTAACATGAATTAGGAAAATTTATGATTTTAAGAAATCACAGTAGTGCAATCATGGATTTTAGTGATTTCAAATTTGATTATGTATAAATTATTTTATTTTACATGTATATAGTGACAGCCATATGAATTCTGAAACAATGCAGTCATTAGACCATTCAAATAGACCCGCCACATTTTGATAGATCAAAGAACCATAATGAGATATTGGTTAGAGTGATGATGTCATGGGTTGTAGGAAGCAAGCTGATTATGCAAAAACAGGATTAACTATGGTTTATTTTGAAAAAATATAATAGTATATTGTAGAACTTATGACATCATCAACCACGCTGATATATCCTAGCTTCTTTTATCTCCCCAAAGATGATTGGGTAGATTGGTAAGTCCAGGACAAATCTTCTTGTTCCTGATGTCAGTGAGGGGATAGGTCATGGACAAATCCAAAGAAAATAATTGGTGTTCCAGCCAGTTTGCTGTTGAAATATAAAGGCTGGGTGTCCATAAAGTCTCTTCATGCTTTACACAGACTTTGTATTGAAATTGTAAAGAGTTTATGGACATTCTGTATTATTACCATTCTATTCAAAGGCAAAATGAATATCAGGTAATGCCAAAAAGCCCTAGAAATTCAATAAAAGTAATCACAAACTTTTAACAGATCATGGCCACTTTTGAATACTTTGTTAAATGGAATATAGATTTCAAAAAATATTAAGATGTGGATATATAGATTAACACCTATATAAATACCAAGTGGGTGAGTTCCAAATTTGAATGTCCTTTAGAAGATAACAGAGAAACTATACATATTGTTGTAAATACTGTAGATTTTAGCATTGGGAAATGCAATTCAGTGTATCTGGAGATATTTTTATATGAAAGGATGGTGTCAGATTGTAAGCACAAATATGAATAGTTTGACAATATTGTAAATGCTGCATGTTCCAGTAGATGTATGAATCTTACTAGATGTAATAATATGTGGATTGTGTGCATTCAGAGCTGTGGCTGGAAATTCAAATTGATTATATGAAGAGAATATATAATGCTATAAATAAAGCTTCAATCAATCCTGTTTGAAAAGACTTCTTGTTTGCATGTAGTGTGAATATCTGAGACAGTAATACAGGATTGTATTTCATACTTGAGTGGGTTTGGGGTAGATATCACCCAGGAATATATATCATATCTGAGGAGCGGGCAGGATATATTGTATATGCCCCGCTCTAGGCCAAATGCAGGCAGATATAATGTATCCATCCCGCTCCCGGGAATGTTTTCAAAAGTTAAAAAAATTTAAAAATTTAAAATTCAAAAGTTTAAAATTTTTCAAAAAGTTTAAATGTTACAATTTCATTGTATTGAACTGAAGGAATATTAAGAAAATGTTAAATATAAATTGTGCTTTTACAGTATGGGCCTATCTTGTCATTTGAAAAAAGGTGGTAAAGGTTATATCTACCCTAAACCCACTCAAGTATGAGATACACCAGTTATGTACGGTCGGTTTTGGATACAGTGTTCATCCCGCGGGAAATATGTGTATCTCACGAGGGACCACAGTGACCGAGGGAGATACACATTTTTCCCTTGGGATAAACCCTGTATCCAAAACCTCCCAGTACATAACCCTTATATATCCACCAATGGATACACATGATATCCCTGAAATGTATTTCTAAATTATTCTGATGAAATGTTTCTCATCCTGTGTTAGCTCTGGGAGAGTTCCACAGTACCTATCCTTCTTTGTCACATCACTGAGAATCCTTATTATGATCCTGGTTTGAATACTGCAATATGATGGCTTCCAAGTTAATTTAATTGGAAATGTAATTTGGAAATAAACTGCTCTTTTCTGAAAATTGCCGGATATTCATTGGGGACAAGACAACGCTTTTTCATTCAGTGTATAGGTAGACGGAAGACGTTCAATTTTTAAGAAAAATCAAAAATTCTAAAAATGTAAATATATCGTAGTACACTCAGAATATTGATTGAGAAGGTGCATGATAAAAAAAATACTGGATGATCAGGTGCTGGATAGGGCCAGAATACCTATCCTCGAAAAAATATTGGGCTCGGCTACCGCCTCAAAACGATATTTTTTCTCGGGATATAGGGAATGCCTCTGTACATACGAACGTATATGACGATAACTCAAATACTGTTGGCCCAATTATGTTCATATTTTGTATACACATGCGGTATTTTTGAAAATGGTGGCCATTTTAATTTGTGCTATTTTGCCATATTTGCTATAATTGGAAAGGAGTACAAGTATTCTGTAAAAATGGCAGCCATTTGGCTGTTCAATGGGATTTACTACGGTCTGGCGATACTGTTATCTAATTTCCTATCTATGACAGACAACAACATAATATATACAAGTATAATAAAAACACAATTAAAATTGGCTGATCCATTGTTACAACACACATATGACTTGTATGAATGATATATTAAATGTTCCATAGACACATATGACTTGAATGAATGATATATTATATGTTCCATAGACACATATGACTTGTATGAATGATATATTATATGTTCCATAGACACATATGACTTGTATGAATGATATATTATATGTTCCATAGACACATATGACTGGTATGAATGATATATTATATGTTCCATAGACACATATGACTTGTATGAATGATATATTATATGTTCCATAGACACATGACTGGTGTGAATGATATATTATATTTCATAGCTACTGTACAACACATATATCACTTGTACGAATGATATATTAAATGTTCCACAGACACATGACTGGTATGAATGATATATTATATGTTCCATAGACACATATGACTTGTATGAATGATATATTATATGTACCATAGACACATATGACTTGAATGAATGATATATTATATGTTCCATAGACACATATGACTTGTATGAATGATATATTATATGTTCCATAGACACATATGACTTGAATGAATGATATATTATATGTTCCATAGACACATATGACTTGTATGAATGATATATTATATGTTCCATAGACACATATGACTTGTATGAATGATATATTATATGTTCCATAGACACATATGACTGGTATGAATGATATATTAAATGTTCCATAGACATGTATAACTGGTATGAATGATATAGTATATGTTCCATAGA